TACACATGACCTCTGTATTTTATCCATTTCTCTTTCCTTCTGGATTCTTCCTTTGACCTTTTTCCTTCTCTCAAAAAACACAGCATACTCTCTCTCAAGACATCATGTTTGTTGAACCTGTCAGATTGTTTGCATCATGGATGCAAATATGAACACAAGTCCTCAAACAATATCTTCACTTCAAATGGAAGATTTTGGGTTATCAAACATTCTGCCCCTGTCAAAATTACTATAGCCAAAGTGCTATGTTACTGTTACTATTCCAGAACAAATCATTCTAGTTAATTTTCCTGCTTTAATCACTGTATAGAAGACAATCATCTTCGGTAGTTTAGGCCACTAAAGATAGATTCTTTTTGATTCTTGTCTCCAGATAACATTTTTAAGTCAGGCATTTCTGCATATTGTCTCTGCAGTTTGAACTTTGACCATCCTTAAAATCCATTCAATGCTTCCAATGCTACAGTCTTTTCCTCTCCATACTGTACTTTGTCTTTTGTTTGTTTGATTGTTTTCTCTCAGGTTTGTTTGGTTTGGGGGTGTTTTTTGTTAAGTAATAATGCAAATTCTCTCATTAAAAAAGCTTAAACAAAATATGGATACATTAAGTGACCTATCCAAATATCCCATGCAAAGCTGTAAATTTGTGCCATTAGCTTGGTGTGACATTAGACATACAGTAAGATACTAATATTTTTTAAAAAATCAATTTATTCTAATACTATTGAGAGATTCCTTGAGAAAGTTACTTCATGTAGGACCTACATATGGAGGTTCTTTGGAAACAGGAACAATCTATGAAAATAGTGAATATATGTCTGTCTTTCTTCTAGTGACTCCTTATCATTAAAACAAGTCACGTTCACATGGTGTAACAGATGCTTCCTGAGGCAGATAACCTCCCACAACACAACTACAACCTCAGTTAGTAATATTACATTCTCCCTTTCAGTTACCCACTTACAGCCTATCTCTTGAAACAGGTTTAAACAATTGCAACCTTGTATATATTAATAATAAAGTAATGCTAGCAGGACCTAGATCTGATAGAAAAATTCATATTAGACTGCCCTAACAATAAGCATAGGTTTGGAGGTTTTTTCATATCCTTCCTTTTTCCTTTTCTCTGCTGCAACATACCAAAAAATAAAGAAGAAAAAAAAAAAATCTAACTAGTCTATGCTCAGACTAGAGCCCTTTAACTTCCTTAGAAGACTTCAACAAATCCCTCATGTGTTTCCATAACTATTAAATCCCGTGCTAAAAATTTAGATCATGTTTCCCCACATTAATGTCATCAAGGTCAAATACAAGCTTCTTTCCAGCCCATATAAAGTAGGTCCAACAGGCTCCCAGTATCAGACCATTTTTGAGAAAATAAGAAATTTCTTATAACAAGTTCAAATTTTCTTATATCCTAAAAAAACCTCCTTCTCTACAGAATGATTTTATGTGAGCCTTCATTACACAGAGGAAAAACAAACTACAACATAAAACAGGGTATGAAAATATTAGGAAAAATAAACAGGGTGCAGATGAAATGTCTGAAATCACTGTTGGGAGTTAACTGGATTAGCAAATTAAAATAATTAAAATAAATAGCTCACCTTTAGCTCTTTTTTACCTTCCCCTCTCAAAATAACTTATTTACAAGAACTTCCTTCCTTGGTGTAAATATACACTTGTAACAGTGTTGTAGTGCTGGTAAAACAGCAGAAAGTTATTCTACTTTGTGACATTCTTCCTGCCAAATAAAAAGCTGATGAATATCTCATCAACATCCTCAATATGCCGCTCTTCCAGGAGTCTTGCAAGTAAAAACCATGAAGCATAAAACAGAAAATCCATTCCCTGCTGTTAAGTAAAATCCCTGTATTTCATGTAAGCTTTACTTCTAATAAAGATTTTTTAATTATCAGTCCTCATTTTTAATCAAGGCAAGCAGCACTACCCACTGTGACAGAAACAAAAAAAAATCTGGTTCTGAAATAGTGTGTATTAGGATATATTTAGCATATATTCAGACCTGTAATCAGGTAACTATGTAACTATGTTGTTGAAATGGAGATCTTTTACTACTAAGTAAAAGAAGAACATACAAATTACTAGCTGAACTTGCAATTAAACTGCATTTCTCATTAATTTCAGATTTGCATTTAATGCCTTAGAAGAAAACACCCTATGCAAATACATATTCATCACTGATTTGCATGGAAAATACATGTAGAGTTAATTTGCAGGGAGGGGGTTATTAAATATTTCTTCAATAGTTTAAAATGAACTAGCAGAAACAAGGGCTACATTTCAGTCATCTTATTTTATGCATAATAAGTAGTCTGAATATACAGTTTCACTCATCTGTCAGTACCCCAGCTGAAACAGCATCCCTCATCAACAGTTCTAATTTCAGCCACTTAAACAGGTCTTAAGAGTAGCTTCTGTTGCTTCCTCTAGAACAGGAAGAAACTTAAGGGCAGATAAAGATGGTCCACTGAATACCAGGACAGATCTTCTGAATACTAATAAAAAGTTTCCAATGTATAAATATTTCTGTATTTTCTTCTAACTTTCTCAGCTTCCACGTATAACAAATGCAGTACAAGTCAAGAGAATCAATCAAAGTGCTGGAAGTTCATTAGGAAGCTCACACTCCATCAATGATGTTTCAGTTTTCACACTGGACTGTGTCTATCCCAAACATTAATGTCAACCACCCAACATTTTGCAATAACAGAGCTAGATTATTTGCATTATACTATAAAAGCCATGGTAGTCAGGCAAAGTCCCTGGTGACTGGGAAAAGGGAACCATCACTCCTACTTAAAATGAGAAGAAAGGAAGACTGGGGAACTAAAGAACAGTGAGCCTCGGCTCTGTGCCTGGAGCAGATCCTAAAGGAAGCAATGTTAAGGCACACACAGTGATGTGATTCGAGACAGCCAGCACTGCTTCACCAGGGGCAAAGAGTGTCTAACCCACCTGGTAGCCCCCTGTGACATAAACCCCTGTTGTCTACCCAGACTTCTGAAAGGCTTCTGGTATGATCCCACATAACCTCCTTTTCTCTAAACTGGAGAGAGATGTTATTAAAAGGGTGGACCATTTGGTGAATAAGGAGCTGGTTGAAGGGACACAGCCAGAGAGTTGAGGTCAACGGCTTCATGTCCAGGTGGAGGCCAGTGATGAGTGGTGCCCATCAGGGACTTCTGTCAGGGCAGGTGCTCTGTGATATCTTCATCAGTGACAGACAGTTAGACTGGATGCACCCTCAGCAAGTTTACAGATGACCCAAAGCTGGGCAGTGCAGTTGGCACAACAGAAAGATGGGATGTCATCTAGAGGGACCTGGACAACCCTGAGAAGTAGGCCCACAAGAACCTCATGAGGTCCAAGTGCAAGGTGCTGCACGTGGGTTGGGCCAAGGCCAGACATGAGCACAGACTGGGAGAACTCACTGAGAGGTTCTCATGGATAAAAAGCTGGACATGAGCAAACAGTTTGCATTCACAGCCAGAAAGCCAACTGTATCCTGGGCAGCATCAAAAGAGAAGTGGCCAGCAGGTCAAGGGAGTTGATTTTTCCCTTCTATTATGCTCTTGTGAGACCCCACCTGGAGTACTGCATCTGGTTCTGGGGTCCTCAGCACAACAAACACATTGACCTGTTGGAGCAAGTCCAGAGGAAGCCACCAAGATTCTTAGAGGGCTGGAGCACCTCTCCTATGAAGACAGACAGAGCTGTGATTGTTCAGCCTGGAGAAGGCTGCAGGGAGATCTTATTGTGACCTTCAGTACTTAAAGGAAGGGTATAAAAAAAGAGGGAGAACAACTTTTTACACAGGCAAGTAGTGATAGGACAAGGGAGAAAGGTTTTAAACTGAAATAGGAGAGATTTAGATTACATGTTAGGAATAAATTTTTTACCCAGAGGACAGTGAGGCACCAGAACAGGTTGTTCAGAGAAGTCGTGGATGTCCCATCCCAGAAGAACTCAAGGTCAGGTTAGATGTGGCCTGTCGAAGCTGTTTGCACACAGGCACACAGAAAAGTAAGTAACATCATATTAAACTTGACAAATGATAATTTAGAACCTAACTCATTCAGGGAGAGCAGTCTTCTTCTAGATGTTACATAAAAGGATGACAAAGCAGGGCAAGAGTCTTCTCTCATTCATCTACAGTGAAAACAGGTATCAGAGCAACATGACAATACCCTCATTTTTAGGGGACATCTTCACTCCCCTTCCTTTCTCAAGCCTGTGCCTAACAACTGCCAGAATGCAAAGTAAACACAACGAAACTACATAGGTATTTCCACTCCTAACTAGTACTTTTGAGAATCCTGATGGTAAAGTTGAGTAAGTGTTGAGTAAGTGCAAGGGCATGTCCTTTGCCAGGACCACCAGGAGCCTGCCTACCAAACTCATTTGAACACAGACACAAAAAACTTTAGGCAGGTCTGTATAACCTTCCTTAGTTCATTGGTCTTAATCTACCATTAACTCTACAGCAGGAGATGATTACCACTTGCCTGTAAAATGTAAGCAAAACCAGAAATCTTTCCAAACTGCTGTCTGTAAAAGGTATTGCTTTGCACCATGAAGTACTTGCAACAGATCAAAGGCAAATAGGAACACCAGTGATGCCTTAAGCAAGAAAACTTTGAGCAAAGAAACTGTAATACCAGGTGATGGATCACATAAACCTCACCACAAGCTAAGCTGACACCATTTGCCTACTTCTTACACCAATCACAAAAATAACAGCTTTTATACACAGTGCTACAAAACTTTCCTTTAGGTTAGAACAATGGACAGTAATATCCCATTTCAGATAATTACAGAAATTAGACTTTGCTTCCATATTTGTCTGAGGGAAGGGCTGAATTAAGAAAAACAGCAACAACTACTCAAGTGCTGGAAGATAAAGAGCAGCTATACAAAACAATGAGGGGGAAAAAAAGACCTCATGCATGCACAAGTGAAGTTTTTTTTACTCCTACCTCATCACTTTCATCTACTTCAATACCACCATCTTTGTCATCATCCATTTGCTTATGGATCATGCGGAGAGCTTCTAGGCTGAATCGGTCCTCCTCAGTAAAGCATGGTGGGCTGAGTGAACTGCAGGGATCTAAAGCGGGGAAAAAAAACCAAAAACAAACCAGAAACTTTAGTTAGTGTCACTCCAGAATATAAACATCCCAAGCAAAAGAAAGGGCTTACATTTCTGTATTGTGTACCTGTACTTCATTGCCATAATCACCAGGTAATAGATGTCAAATTTAACTGTAAAATAATAATTATTACCAAAAATGTGAAAGGGGGGTGTGTGTGTAAATCAACTCTTTTTTTTTTAATCCAGGAAGGAATCCCCAAAAATAAGCTGGAATGGTTTTGATCACTTTGTTTTTTTCCACCCCAGTAACTTACTATTTCCACTTTTTCTTTTATCATCTACCCTCAGTAATATGTCACTACAACAGCAAATAGAGTCACTGCATTTCCCAAACTCCTTTCTGAACGTCTGGGCTACACAGAGAGCGGTGGAGGAGAAGGAAAAGAACTGTCATGTCATACAATCATAGCTTCATAAACAGGTAACAAAGGGATGGTAATCACATTGCAGATAAAAATCTAAGTCAGTAGTACTACTGAACACAAAATATTCAAGGAGGACTGCAAGAGAAGAAAGTGCACTGCAAGAAAATTTCAGCTGATATATTTATATGACTATGTAGTACATGATATATCACTCCCGTACCCTCTGATTACACACGGCAGTTGCCGTGGAGCAGGTTTCCAAGTCAAAAATAGTATGTTTTCATTTGCATTCATTACTGAAGGCTCATGATTTGTGCACATCTTATGGTTCAGCTTGCACCACATGAGCCTGTTAAATCTCTGTTCTTTCCCTTCTATAAGGCATATATCAAATGCTCCAAAATTCTACAATGCATAATGATCAACCATCATTACGCTGGTCTTTCACAGTCCGAGGCATTAACTAATAGCTAACTATTTCACTAATTCTGATGTATCCAACATCAAAGAACAGAATGTGGAGAAGGATACAGAAACCTTTTTTTGAAAGTTCAGCGTCAATAAGATAGTGAATTCCCACTGTAGCAGGCATTATAAAAATGCAGTGACTAGTCCCATAAACTGGTACACTACACTTTAATCAATGCAAATACAAATTGAGGCAACATATGAGTAATTTTTGCTTCTTCTAGTCTATCAGAGGATTAAGCTTTCATATTGCTACAACATTTATTAAAAGGCTCATTTATACAAGTAATGTAAAGGAAGCACATACAGAAATAGAGAGAATCAAGAGTTTGCACAGAAAAATAAATTTATTGTTTTATTATTTCATACTAGTTGGATTAACATGATTCTGCTTTTCTATTATAAATTTTAAAACAATCAAAAATCAAAAATAATTAAATGCATAAGGCTACAAAGTAGAAGAACGAAGATAACCACAACATAGTTGTAATCTCAGATGCATAATTAAAATAACTGATTCCCAAGACTAGATGCAAGTCAACGCATTCTTACTTTACAGTCAAGTTTTATTATACAGAAATTAAGAGAAATCTGTCATCTCTGTTCAGGACCAAAAAAAAAAAAAAAAAAACCTTAAAAAAAACCTTAACACCTCACTGACACTGTCCCAGAACAGAGAGATGCTGCTTTTAGAAATACTTCATGTAATTCAGAAAGACAAATTTCTAAATCTCTTCTTTACTAAATTGCTAAGTATTAAATATTACTAAATATTTAATTACTAAATTATTTGCTAAATATTAATCCAGGCCAATCACAAACTCTAATTTTCAACTTTTGAATGCAACTAATATTTTATTAAGAGACACCAAGTAACTTTTTTTTTACATTTAAAAGAATCTATTTTATTTTTCCATCTTTGTTTTATTATGAAAGGTTTAATTTCACAACACTCAACCTTTAAATTTTTGCCCTGCAATTAAAAAATTAATATGGTGGGGGGCATTAAAGGACTCAGCCCTGCAATACAGGACTATGTAGAAATGCTGTAGAAAGGCTTCCCTTGAAACAGTAATAAATCACCTCTGCTAGTAATTAAATTCCAGTGGCCATGAACAAGGTGTATGAATTTACTTAAATACAACACCTATCAAAAGAACCATCTTTGTATTACATGTTTAGATCTATACTGTATTTTAAGTTAGAAGAAAGTATAAACATCAAAAACTGATAAACAGGTCCCCCAAACACGCTCAACTTGCTTAATTTATACTTAGTTCTATTCCTACATAGAAGAAAACATCAGATAGTGTTCATAGGCTGCAAGCACCCACTCAAATGTTCTTTCATTTGGTTCAGCTGAAAGCCCAGCTTTTCAAATCAAAAAGGTTTTCTCAAAGCACATTTTCACACAGTTCATGTTGATCAGTTCTTTAATCAGAGTACTTATCTTAAATATGCCTTTTTAGGATATTTAAGCATGAAGGCACTTTAAGGAGCTATGGTTCTTCTTGAGAGAAGTAAACAGGCTGCTAGTGCTTCAAATGTCCCATGCACTGGCTCCAAGAACACTTGATCTCTCTCTTAAGAAACTATAGAGTGCCAATTGCTCTCTTTGGGACTGAGAAACAGAGTAGGACCACATGTTGACTGTAATAAAAATTAACCCACTCTACACAGAATCCAGATTTACTTTGAAGCTACTTACTATTATAAAGCTGGTAAAAATTAAACATTCCCAGACTGACAACACAGGTCATCAGCCCCTTCTTCAGAGAACAATCTCAAAACAAACAAAAAATTAGAAAGCTACTCCAGCCTAAAGAACAAGTGAAAAGCATTTCACAAGCACACCTATGGAGCCCTACCAAATCCAAAAAACAGCTGACAGAAATTTAATCATCTGCAGCTCTGCAGAATATTCTATCATGCGGTATCTTGCTTCAATTGCATGGTAAAAACAATTCAAATTACTGCTAGATGAAACATGGTTAGTTAATTGGATATTTATATATTGGATATATTTGATATGTATATATAGGATATATATTGGATATATTGGATAAAAGCCAAGAGGAAAAGTCTTAAGATACAGCAAACACCATAGATACAGCCCTGAGGCCCCACAACCAGTCATAAGAATAGTTGATAATTTATTTTTCACTTTGAATCCACTCTATTGAAGGTGTTCTGGGATTCCAAACTTTCTACTGTACTTTAAGGACAAACCTAATTTCATGTCTGGACCCATTTCTCTTTCCTAGTGTGTCTGGTGTGTTGTCATAAATACACTTAGACCAAAATGATCATCACAAGAAAAAGTAGAGATGATAAATTCACCCATGGAATGATAGCTTGGAATTTGTGCCTTCCTTTAACAGAAAGCACAGAAGAATCAACAAAGCAAACAAAAGAGAGAAGGTGGACAAGAGGCATAAAAGCACAGCATATGTCACTCCAGGCACCATTTATTTTACAGTCCAGTTTTTCATGCTGGTCAGAAGTGAGGAAGTTTCAGAACTACTGGTCATAATAAGGAGGCAATTTGTTACTAAAAACTAAATGCCAAACTCATGGCCCAACAAACTTGGCAGAGGATTTTGAAACAAACCCCTCTCCTGCCTTGAGGCAGTAACTTGCCTCCAAGGCAAGGGGACAGTCTTCACCAGTTCACAGGAGTCTCTCATGACAGACAGTCTGATAATGAACAAAGCACAGTTATCCAACCCAAGATACAGGAAACTTTGTATTTACAGGCAAGGGGAAAATAACACTTCACACCCTTACCCCCACCCCTCCTTTCCCCATCCCCCTTCTCTCTTTTTCAGTGAGGTTAAAATAAGGTGAGACTCCAGGAAAAACTTCAGATTGAAATTACCCTCAGCTTTAGATTCACAGCCCTTTATTCCATTCCCTGAATACAACAGAAGTTAAACTTAGAAAGTGACACTGTCAACACGAGTCCTTAAGGAAAATTAATTACACTGATATCTTCAAGAGCTCATGTCAGCACAGCCCTTGAAATTTATTTAGGAATACACCATTAGAAATGATTCCAAAGCAAAAAGGTATATGCACCTTACAGTCTTTCACCTATCCTGCATTTACTTTTTCCTAAACTGCTGTGAGGGTAACAGACTTTGGAATGAAAACGACTGACAGACCAAGTAACAGCAGTTCTTTCTCACACACTTCCTTTGCATGTGGACCCTGGAGCACAAAAGCTATGGCTGTGCCAAAGCCTGTGACAGTGACCCCAACCAGGTGTTTGCAGTTCCAATCCAGCCCCAAAGTGCCCGAGCCTTTATTTGCTTTCAATGCCTAAAAGAGCCTTTTTAAGAATGAATGGACACACAAAACCTTCATGATTTTTCAGGGCTACCTGGAATCAGGTACACACCTCCAAATTTAAGATTTAAATGCCTTTTAATTTTTCCATTAGTTCACTCAGAGCAACTTAGCAGGTGGAAGTTATTTGAAGAGACTAACTACTACACATCCCTTTTGTTCTGTGAGGATGTTCAGCGTTCACCGAGAAGGGAGAGCACTTTTTTTATGCTAACATATGGCCGTCCTATGGAAACCCACAGTGCTTCCACGACTGCCTTTTACTGGTGAATTCAGCACTGTTGTGCTAGGTTTATGATTCCTCATTCCTAAAAAGCCATCTGGAATAAAGGGAAGCCTCACAGAAAAGGCAAGCACTATACAGTGTCAGTTTCCTAAGTACATACTCTCAGCTTAAAATAACCAGCACGCCACGATGACAGAAGTGGATTTCTTTGCATTTTCCAGAGACAAAGCAGGTATCTGCAATACCCCCAACCCCCTACCAAATGCATCTTCACCTAACCAGGATTACTGTTTCCTTATATTTCTGTTGTGCTTTAGTTTTACATGTACTTCAATACATTACAGTTTCCTCACCAATTCAAAATATGACTCCTTTCAATGCACAAAACCTGTAAGAGAACATAAATTTTTGAAGACCCGAGTACAAATCCGAGTTTCAGATACAAGAGGGATTAATGAAATTACTGAAAAAAGCAAGTATTTTCAAGAATTTTGCCTGATGTTCAAACAGCTATTCACAGTAAAGGCAATAAACATGTTTTTATCTTA